GTGAAATCATTCATGCAAGTTTATTTGTAGATTGATCTTTCTCAACATAACTGGTTTAAGCAACAACAACATAATCAACCAACTCCCTCAAAATTTAAACCAAAATATCAATTGCCAGATGACATAAAATTTGGTCACTGCAATCTAAAACTATTATAACAGTGAAGACTGAAAAGGAACTTGCTTTTAGATTCAGTAAAGTGGGAAAGATCACATAAATTTTGTTTTCTATCTAGCATCTAACACTATCATCTTCAACGAGGAGGTCACTGCATAAGTATTCCGAGTCCATCACGCATAGTCAAGTGAAAGAAATTGAAACACACGACAATACCAAAATGACTTGATATATTTTTAAAATAGCGTTTAAAATACTTCCTACAAGAAGTAATAGTTATGTGCTTCTTGCATAAAGCAATAAAAGGCTTTTTGTCATTTTACTAAGAATTGGTTCCAAAAATTTTAAGAACAAAAGAGCTTTTAGTTATTTTAAAAGCATTTCAAAAAGATCAACCATTAATTTCAAAAAGAAGAAAATTAACCATACTTTTAAGATCTAATGTTGATTGATATGAAATGAAATTGAATGATAAAATACAAATTAATATTTTGATTTAGTGGTATTTTCTTTGTTAATGTCAGAACTTCAAGCATGAAGATGTCATTCTCTCTATTTATAAAAAGAAATTATATTTTCACTATCACAAATGTAATGAGTTTGAGTATAACGTAAAGTAAGATTGTAAAAATGTGTTTCATGACAGAACTAAATCAAATAACGTAAATTTTTTTTTTTTTTTTTTTTTTGTCAAATGATAGATTTGTAAAAACGAAACTTGGGATTTCACAATTTTGTAACCTTCAACCAATGAATCTGCATTAGATTTTCTTGATTGATTAGATTTTGAAAATATCATTCAACCAAGTCTTTCATATTAATCGTTTTTTTAACTAGATAGTGTTAGAAGGTTTTATTTATTAAATATCTGACTACGAGACTAATAAATATTGTTAACTACTTAAACTACAAGTCGTTATGAAAAAAAGGTCGCAATCTTTGTGTTTGGGTATTATAAGTGCTTGGAAATTACCAAATCCTTTTCTTATAAAACAAGGAAAAAAAAAAGAAAAAACAGGGATTTCATCTGTAGTACATGTGGAGCTGCTTGCAATTTGAAGAGGTTTGCAACTGGCAAGGATGATCGGATGCAATCTGTTACAGGTGCAATCTGACTCTTTAGAGGCTGTGGCTGCCTGCAATGGAGGTGCAAATGACCTTTCAATTATGGGTTTTGTTGCTTCTGATATTAAGTAGCTGGCTTCCGAGTTACAAGAGTGTAGTATTTGGAGGAGGACTCTCTCCCCTACTAATCTTTTTTTCCATTTCCTCCTCTCCTACTTAAACGGTTACGTGGTCAACATCTTATATGGATTTTTTTTTTATAAACAATAAGACAAAAAACAATGTGTGAGGGGAGGGGAGAGAAGGGAATGAAAATAGAATGGAAGAGAATCCTACTCTGTAGTATTTTGTATATTTGGGGAAATTGTAAGTGAGCGGTTCATTGCCTCGTCAAGTTAAGGTTATATGATGATGATTCTATAATTTGGTTTGAGAAACCTCCAGATGTTATAAAAGAGAGGGTTTTTAATGTGTTAGAAATATAGGATGCTATGCCATATATTATATACCAATGTTGAGAATTATTTTTCAAGTATCCCTTAACTTGTATAATAACATATAACTGTTGACCCTAAAAACTACCAAGCCTATGTGGGACGCAAGCCGAGTAATCAATAAGCTAACTACGTCCTTCAGTTGTGTGCGAGGCGTGCCAACTCGTCGGCCGAGGAGTAAAATATGTGGATGTGGCGTTGAGCGCACTGCTGACTTCTTGATCTTGCGACTACGGCCGAGGAAGGAACACGTCCTGGCCTTCGAGTTCTAGAGCCTGAAGACAAGGCTGCTAGTCTTGCGAAGTTCACGGATCGTCGAAGTCGGGTTCAGTCACAGTGATTATATTCATAAGAGTATAAGCACGCCGAACTGGCACTAGACTATACGGGCACAAGTACTCAAAAGAGATGTATGTCTTGATAATGAATGTGGTTTGGCCGTCAGAATGCTGAACTCTGAAACTTACTTGTGAGTATCCAATCATAAAACAACTCGGCGTTCAATGTGCCGAGCCTAGTAATCTGTAACACCTCACTTCACCGAGAAGGCTAATGAGATGACCTATTCCAACAAGGATTTGAAAATTCTTCTTGACCGAGACTTGGATAGGTAATCAGTTGGCCTCGACGCAGTGTTGTTTTCCAAACTGAAGGTGCTCCGTGGACGGCTGATTCTACGGCAACAGTGCTACTTTCCAAACTGAAGATGTTACCGATTGCCTTCACAGTGTTGTTTTCCAAACTGAAGATGTGTTGGCGAGAAAAGGGAAAAATGAAAGATTTCTCAAGGTTGTTGAGAGGTTTCGCGTAGAGCGAGTTTGTGCAAGGCTGTTTGTGTGTTCAATTGGAGAGGCATCAGCATCGCCATTACCTCTGTATTTATAGGAATAAACCTACTTTTAGCCGAGTTAGAACTTCACACAGATTAGGAGTCCTCATCCTAATCTAACTAAGACTCAGCTAATCCTAATTCAATCAGGACTTTGAACCTATCTTCATAATGAACCAGATTCATTCCCCAACTATTGATGTCTTCAGCTTTAACACCCCTGGTGGTATAAGGATTCAACCTTCGTCTTTATCCGAATTAACCCTTATCGCAAAAGGACTCGACCAGGAAATTAACTAAACAACTCCCAATGTCCAGCTGGCCCATTGCCCCCAGATGACCGCTAGACCAAGAATCTTGGCCCATTTGTTACCCTCGGCCCAAATTGTCATTTCGGGCCCAAACAATAACGTATGTGTCTATATTCCATATACACCTAAAAATCTCTTGTTATAAAGGACACACTCTACCAAGATTTTGTAGAAGAGCTTACACCTAGAGTCTTACCCGTGATATAATAAAGGCCCTTCTTTATGTATGCACAAATGTAGAAGAGCAAAAAGAACCTTTGTATGCCGCGCATAGCGCGCCGTGATGTAAAAAAAGGTCTTTTGCACACACAAGGCGAGTGTAGAAAGGCTAGTGGAACATAAATTAAAATATCTTCTTTTGCAAGATTTTAGGAGTTTGGTACATAGTAGATTTAATTTGTAAATTAATTAAAAGTGTATAATAGCTGTTTGATCAAATCTCTAAAAGCCTTACATGTATCAAAATGCTCCTTAAAAATTCGACCGTGATCGTGATTGGTACCAAAATTCAAAACTCAGTACCCCTTTTGTTTAAAATAAAAAATAAAAAAATAAAAAAAATAAAAAATAAAAAACTCAGTAACCCTAGATTAACTATCTTGAATATGGCGAAGCGCTCCAATGACCCCAATTCAGTAACCCTAGCACATCATTATGGTGTTGATGCCGCTCAAGGCTCCTCAAACATGGCCGGTGAGGGCAAGGAGTATAGGAGCCAGCGGAAGAAAATTACTGCTCAAGGCGGCACGCCTGAAACACAGGACCACCACAAGAGGGAAATTACTACTGATGGCACCTCTTATGCGCCCAACGAGGTCGAGGAGTATAGGCTACGGAGGGGAATCCGTGTTGCAGGCTGAGATGATGTTCCGAACCCCATCAGGACTTTCGATCGGTTTCCAGGTAGCTATTATTATTTTTTCTTGTATTAAACAATGTAACTTGTTATACAATATAATAAACATACATTTCCATTTGAATGTATAAACATATATGTATTGAATTGTTCAGTTCTCTTTATCATCACATAACATTTTATACAAGAATTTTCAAAAGCTGGATTTGTTCGACCTACACCAATTCAAGCTCAAGTATGGCCAATGGATTTGGAGGACCGTGACCTCATTGGTATTGCTCAACCAGGATCCGGTAAGATGCTAGTGTATCTGATCCCCGCAATTCTCCATGTAAACTCCCAACCAAAACGATGTGAGCATTATATATGTTAGTTATCCTTAAGATAATCAAATCCTAGTTCTTTGAATCATATATTTGGTTATATATGCATCAGGAATAAAGTTTTACATTTTATAATTTTTCTTCAGCTGGTGGTGGAGATGGCCCAATAGTATTGATTTTAGCTCCAACAACTCAACGCGCTGAACAAATCCAACATATGGGTGCTAAATTTGTTGTAGCTTACAACATTAAAGTCTTATGTTTGTACCTGCTTAAGCATGAAAATTCTAGTCAGACTTGTGGTAGGTGGTGGTGGCGGTGAACTACATTTTACTATCTATCACTATTGTTTTGCTACTTTTTTTTTTTTTTCTGTTACAGGCATTGGTTATGGTAACATACAATTTTGTGTAGTGATGATTTTAAGGGGATTTCTTGTTTGAGTATAGAGTTATTCTACTTATTGATTGCAATTAATATTTTGGCTCAGGAGGTGGGATTTTAATCGACACACTTAGTAGCTTGCTTGTTTTGTTAAAGAGCAAAAGTACGAACTTGAAAAGCGTCACATACCTTGTGTTGGATGGTGCTGATTGGATGCTATCAGACACGCATGAGCCTCAAATTCAAAATATATTATCTCAGGTTTAACATATTACCCTTACTTGGTTCTTCATCAGGTTTGACATGTTACCCTTAATGGAAAAGATAATTGGATTCCTTTTAAAGGGTCAGATGAACTCTTTAGCATTTTTAAATTCCCTTACACACAGAGTGTGTACTCGTGTACATATGTGTGCGCGTGTGTTATATATCAAAGTTTAAGTTCAGTTGAATTGTCATTGCCATCTATGGGTTTGTTGAATGCAGATCCGCTTAGACTGTCAAAAATCATTATGGGGTGCTAGCTGGCCAGAAGAGGTTGATAAACGGGCAAAACTATTCCTTCATATTAACTACATTGCAATGATGAAGAATTGGTACAGAGGAAGATAAAGAAATGGTAGAGAGAAACAAACAAGATTGTATTGATTGATTAGAGAAAATGTATACAAATGAACTTAAGGAAATGATAGCTATACAATCCTTTATATAGCCATGTATCTCAATTACAATATCTAATTATACTAACAAACTCCACTACTATAATAGTGCCATGTGGCATTTCTGTTATTATACTAAACATTTCTGTTATTACTCCCCCTTCAAACTGAACTTGGTGTAGCCAAGTGAAGTTTGAACTAGCTAGAGTTTTGAAACGGATATGAAACTGCAAGACCAAGATGTCTTCAATGCTGCAAGAACCTAAACAAATGAATACCACTGGGTGCCAATAACCGCCTCTCCCCTCGAAAATTGCACCACAAGAAATCTCTTCTTCTCTCTCAAAGTTACCCAAACCTCTGCTTCTGATCATCATCTCCCACTTGCCCTTCAAAGAAGCCGCAAGAAACTCCATTCTCTCCAATCCCTTATATAATCTTAACTCTTCACCAGAAATTTCTGAGAGCTCAATTGATCAACATATGAGGCTTGCTGAAATTTATGTTGCAGCTGAAAATGCTCTGCACAATACACATAGACTGGCACCAAATCAACTAAGGAGAATGACAGTCCAAGAAACCAAATCACTCCTGAGATCTTCCTAAATCTTCCCAAAGACTAACACCAAAATTAACCAAGAAGAATGACACTCCAAGAAACAAAATCAACCAAGGAGATTGACACTCCTGAGACCCAGAAACAACAAGAAATTTCATCACAAATCTTCAAAAATTACAAAAAAAAAAAAAAAAAAACAACAACAACAACAACTTCCTTCTGCAATCACCAATCCCTCCCACATCACAGATACAGAATCGCAGAAATTCGCAACAGCAAGCGAAGCAGGTGCAGTCACAGCACCAAGCTAAATATCATAAACACTGATCTTGAGCACTGATCAAATTCGCAGACAAGTAATAATCAACAACCCAGAGAAGAATTCGGTTTTACCTTCATGAATGCTTGGATCTTTTCACAGCAGATTCAAGAAAACCCGGAAAGAAAGAACATGGGTATTTTCTGTCATTTGAAGCAATAAACAGAGAAAGAAACAATCCCCCTATTTCTGAACAACTCTGAAATGTGACGGATATTGGTAGCTTGTTACTCTGAATTGATGAGGAAGAAGAAGAAAGGCGGCTGACCCGTGCCCAGATCCATTGGAAAATGTGACATCACAGGCGGAAGATGTGACATCGAAGTCATGCAATTCTAGATCATCAGCCCTTACATCGCATTATTCTCTAGAAGATTTTACAAGGTTGAAGAAGCAGTGCAAAGAAGATGATGCAAGCACTGAACCTGTGGTGTCGCATACAAGTAGGCTTGTAGGCATTGCCACTGCTCCGCCATGTGGGACTTCGTCTTTGGTTGCACCTGGAAGAGGTATCAAGAGAAAGAACTAATCCCCCCTATTTCTGAACAATTCTCTCCCATTGTCCCCAAATTTCTCTCAAATCCTTAATTTCTTTCGAATTTCATATCCCCAATTTTTGAAACTATGCAGGTCTTCAAAACCCAAAACCAAAACCGCCGCTCATCCTCCATACTTTCAGATGATAATGGAAGCACTTACGGCTCTGAACGAGAAGAACGGGTCGAGTCCGTACACCATATCACTACTACAATATTAGCTTTTGGTGGTGGATGATGGTGGCGGATATTAGAAAATTTTGTCGGATAAATTATATCCGACACATCATTTAATTACTGGCGGATATTAGAAAAATCCTGTCGGTTATATCCGATATAAATTCCTAGCGGATATTTACTGGCGGATATCAAGAAAATACTGGTAGATATTTACTGGCGGTATTTTTGAATCTTTTTTTTTTATAATATTTTTTACATATTCTGGCGGTTTTTAAGTTAATGGTAGTGGTTATAACCGACATAAATTGACTATTTTATTATTTTACTTTATGGCAGTTATTATTTTAGTATTCTGGCGGTTATAACCGACATAAATGAAAATTTTATTATTTTAAAATGTTATATTGATTAAAAACAAATATATAAACACATATTTTAAATTTTTTTTTCACTCATGACCCTAAAGTCTAATGAACCCAATTCCCACAAGCCATAAATTTTCTGAGAGAATAATAACAACGGACTACAATCTAAAGCTCTATCATTTTTGTAATAAGGATTATGCTCCCTCACAGGCAAGCAACAAGATACAAAGAAATTTAAACAATTTTTTCCAATGCGTCACAATGCACATTGTTTGGCACATAAACACACATGAACATCTGGTGTACTCTATCATGTCTGATTTTATTATTTTAAAATGTTATATTGATTAAAAATAAATAAACACATGTTTTAAATATTATATTTTTTGCGATTTTTTACACATGCTATCTGATAGTATATAAGAAGATATTTGACGGTTGGATTGTTGAAACTAGTTTCGTAGAATGTATATCCTACCAAATTGATAGATTTAACAAACACTTAAGAGTTAATGTTATACTTCCATTAAATATAAAATAAGATTTATCCACTAGTGTAAATATTTTAAATTGAAGATCGAATTCATTCATTGCATTCTTATAGGATCGAAGAGTGTAGCTGCAAAAATCATCAAAATCGAAGCTAAAATAACCGTTAAATTGTGATTTTCGTTTATAATCGTCGAAAACTTTTGTTTTGTTACCTAATCTCTGAACGTTTGTTTTTGTGATTTTTTACGTATGTGATCTCAAAGTGTGTACAATCAAATTTGACGGTTAGATCATTGAAAAAAGTTTCGTAGAATATGTATCACATCAAAACGGTAGATTAAATAAACACTTAAGAGTTAATGTTATACTTCCATTAAGTATAAAATAAGATTTTGTGGTATCCACTAGTGTAAATATTTTAAATTGAAGATCAAATTCATTCATTGCATTCTTATAGGGTCGAGGAGTGTAGCAGTAAAAAATCATTAAAATCGGAGCTAAAATAACCATTAAATTGTGATTTTTTGTTTATAACCGTCGAAAACTTTTGTTCCGTTACGTAATCTGTGAATGTTTGTTTTTTACGATTTTTTACGTATGCAATCTTGAAGTGTGTACAAATAAGTTTGATGGTTCGATCGTTGAAAAACGCTTCGTAGAATGCGTATCGCATCAAAACGGTAGATTAAACAAATACTTAGAGTTAATCTTATACTTCCATTAAGTATAAAATAAGATTTATCCACTAGTGTAAATATTTTAAATTGAAGATCGAATTCGTTCAATGCATTCTTATAGGGTCGAGGAGTGTAGCTGTAAAAAATCATCAAAATCGGAGCTAAAGTAACCGTTAAATTGTGATTTTTCGTTTATAACCGTTGAAAACTTTTGTTTTGTTACCAATCTCTTAATGTTTGTTTTTTGTGATTTTTTACGTATGCGATCTCAGAGTGTGTACAAACAAATTTGACGGTTGGATCATTGAAAAACACTTCGTAGAATGCGTATCACATCAAAACGGTAAATTAAACAAACACTTAGAGTTAATGTTATACTTCCATTAAGTATAACTGTAAATATTTTCAATTGAATATCAAATTTATTCATTAGACAATATTTATTTATGTTTTTCAAGTATTGATTAGACAATATTTAGTTTGTGTGATGACATTTTCATTGTACAATTCTTTTTTTGTTTCTTTATCACATATTTTACATGCATTATTCTCTATTAAACCAAAAGTGTAAAAATTATCTATTAAACCAAAAAATTATTTATTTAATTTTTAAAAACATATTCTATTTAAATACATATTATTTATTTATTTATTAAACCAAACAATTATTATTTTATTTTTTAAAATCGTAACAAAATTTTGGGGGGAATTTAAAATTTTGAGGGAAAATTTAAAATTTTCAAAGGGAATTTTGCCGCTATTTTGTTTCTGTCGGTTATAACCGACAGTAATGAACTTTTTCTGTCAGTTTTTATTTTAAAAAAAAATGTTTCTGTCGGTTTTGACGAGAATTAAACCTAAAACCTCTCACTTACAAGTGAAGAGGAATATCACTAGACCGTAGTACTAAGTGGCACATCCGAACTCAATTCGCCCCATTGCCATCCCTACTCATTAATTAATTTTCATTTTAAGAATGCATGATTATTAACAACTATGATCACTTTCTTCAACTTAGTTAGAATTCCGTCAAAATGAGTCATGTTGAAATGACCATTGCTACAATTGGGTTAAATTTGAGGAATCATTTCTCCAATTGGTTAAAGTTGAAAGATCATTTCTTCAAGTGGGTTAAAGTTGAGGGACCACTACTACAACTTTTCTCATTTTGTTTTTCATATTTGCCCCTTGATTAAGCCTCACCATGTGGGACGTAACTCATTTTGACGGAAGTTCTAACGGAATCGACAAAAATGACCATAGCTGCTTATTTTGAGAAGTTAAGGGACCAATGGTCATAGATTTTTAGTTGAGGGATTATTACTCCAATTAGATTAAAATTGAGGAACCATTGCTATAATTTCCACTTTAAAAAAAAAAAACTGAAAACTCCTCCACAATATTGTCTCTACTTACCATTGATTTAAAATAGTTATCAAACAAGTTTAAAAAATAAAAACCAAAAACTAATAATGAACGGATTTATCAAACGACCCCTAAATGTTCATTATAATCCTTAAAGATTGGAAATTTAAGAATTCGTCTAATAACTATTTTATTTTCATGTTTTAAAAAATTGAAAATTGAAGACCAAATTTTAAAAACGTAAGAAAGTGGTTTCAGATTTTATTTAATTAAAAGTGCTAATCATATTTGATTTCAAATTCCAGTTATCAAGAAGGTAAAAATAAAAACTGAAAACAAGTGCTTATCAAATAACCCATAAATATTTCTCTTTGAAACCCAAAAATATTGCAGTAATTCAACTTCAAATTGTACAATCACTTTTTCTACCATTGTTTGTCATTTATTCTTTACTTCAATAACTTGCTCCGAAATACATTACATAGAAGTACTAGTTCTATATGTGTTGGAATACATGATAATTAAGAAAATGAGAATCCAAGTTTAATTAACAGAGTCGTTTGTACGAGCCAACATTGAAGCAAAAAAATCGAAAAATAATTAAGACCAATATTTTGTTAATTGAAGTTTTGCTCTAAATAATTTTGGGATTATGATAAAAATTTTAAATTTTTGGGCATTATGATCATCCAACCAGAAAAGTTTAAATTCTTTCAAATGAACGATTTGAAAGCCTATTAATTCCAACTTCTTGCAAAGTTGTTCATTCAAATATTTCAACTCATAGACGCGGATCTGCAGCGTATGAACCTAGCATTTTGCTTTGAAGTTTTATATTTTTTCTAAGAAGTAAAAGCTCCTCCACGCCTACCTGACACCCGTTCCCCACTCAGGCTATAGTACTACCATGCATTGCATGCCCTTCCTTTTTCTGTTCCTTTTAGTTTCAAGAAAACCCGCTAGGCTACGCAGGCCACCTGCAAAATCTGAATTATTTTCTGTCGTTAGGTTGGGTTGGCGCCATGACAGGTCGAACCTGCAAAGAGCCTTCTTTCACCCAGCCTCGCTTACTCCAACCCTTATCAAACACATTGCAACTCCGCCTATTGGCTAATACTTTTCAATTCTTTTCCCACACAGTTGTGTTTGTACCTATGGATATATATTTCATGTAGTCATTATCCATTCATTTCACTAAAGGATTTGGGTCCCATCAGGATCCTAGAAATCCTCATATCGATTTTATCCGTTTATTGTACATTATCCGGTTAGAAATTATTTTGAATTTTTTTATTTAAAATTAAACACAAACAGTGTATAACGAAAATTGACCGATGATATATGATAATATATAGGATGTGAGGATCAGAGGATCCTCATCCCTAATTAAATACCACATACTAGAGTTCAACACCAACAAATCAAACACATTGAAACTTCAAAAACCAGTTTTCACTGACATAAGCAACAATGAGGGGAGAGAGTGAGAAACCCAGCAGTGAAGAAAGAGATTCTCAAATCAAATATAAAAAAACTAGGTTGGAACCGGAACAAAACTGTCCTAAACAGCCACAAAGCTTTTGCTTTGAGTTGAGAACCCGAACCTACTCTCAAAGATGCTAAAACTATTCATCGAAGAGATCCGGGATTCCTTTCTCCTTTGAGAAGCATACAAAACGTCAGTATTTTTTAAGAAAAACTAATGAAATGGGTTTGAAAATTTTAAGATAAGAACAAAATAAAGGATAAAGTGAATGATACCAGTATTGACTTTTTAGTATAAAAATGTGATTTTTCGTTAAAACAAACAGTACCGGAAGTGTTTTGTTAAAATTCCTTATTTTTTAACAATTGTTTTGATTTTTAACCAACGATATGAAAGTTTATGGGGTAAACTCACTTTGTCCCACTTTTTAACCTTATTCTCCAATACCGTCCTCTAACACGCGTATAGATTATTAGGCCATCTCTAATCGAGAGCTGGTCAAATGACTCGTTTTAGCCCTCTGGATCTCAAAGATATTAATATTTTAATGAACAGTACATAGATCATCTCTAAAACGAGCCCTATGGTCCCTTGGCCCTTCGTTGAAGATGGAGGCAAATAAAATATTAA